ATTTATCACCAGATCCTCACCCAGAACCAGTGAGGTTATCTGTTGAGTGAATGAATGAATGGATGAATCAATGAATAAGAAAGGAATTGATATCCCCAGGGAGAATCAACAATCAACATTATCAAACCCCCAAAGAACCTTGAAATCAGACTCTAAGTGGGCCTGGGTTTTTCTTTTTCTGTTTGTTTGTTGTTGTTTTGACTGCAGTGGAGTTATCATAGCTCACAGCAACCTCAAACTTCTGGGCTCAAGCCATCCTCCTGTCTCAACCTCCCAAAGTGCTAGGATTACAGGCATGGGCCACTGTGCCTGGCCAGGCCCAGCTTTCTTACAAAACAAAAGCAAGACCTTTCCCTTTAGTGAAGTGAAGCCTGAGTCCTGCCCATGCTAGGCCTTCCCTTCATTCTCGTCATCTTTTCTTAGGGATCCACAACAGTTTTCTTAGTGACCACCTTTCTGTCTGGAAATAACCCAGAGCTCCTAGGCTCAAAAAACTGGAACTTGGCCTTGGATTCAGGCCCAAGGTCACAGACCTATGTTTGAGGGGCTGGGTGGAGAAGCCCTGACCCTTCTGGCCCTGAGCCCCATCCTTTGCAGGAACAAAAGCAGGAAGGAAGCAGAGACCTCCAGAGGCCTGACACAGTCCCAGGGGTTGTGGTGAAGCCCTGCTCCTCCCCAACACCCTAATACCTGGCCAGCCAAGGACCCGAGACAGGGAGGAAACTTGGGCGGGCTGGGAATTGGAGACAGAGGAAGGACATGGAGTTTGGGGAAAGACACACCTGATCCCTTCACTTTGAAATCTGACAAATGCCTGGCTTCAAATCCTGACTTCAACATCTCTATTTCTGAAGGCCCCATGGATGCCATTTAGTCTCTCTGAGCCTCAGTTTCCACAGCTGTCAGAACAGATTTCACGATTTCTACTTTAAGAGGACAGCTGGTTATTTTGCTCCCAGATGTTATATCTGGTTGCATCCACCCACTCTTCAGTCTCCCAGGATGGGTTTATTCATATGAGAAAAACACAACCCTCTATCAATCACACTCTGTGACTTGCCCCCCAAATGTAGTTTATCAGACTATTTTGATATTGAGCTATATAAACTGATCTACACTTACTCAACTCTGTTAAGTGACAGGGTCAAGCTGATTCCTGAATTTAGCTTATGTATGTATACAGCAGACATTCAATACATATTTTTTAATGAATGAATCTAATGACAAGGTGGGTGATGCCTATATTGATCCTACTAATCAAGTCTAATGAACTAAAATCTCTTCCTTCACTGGCAGTGCGTGTTGCTAGGCATTAATCCACCTTATGCTTTGATACTGCAGACACGTGGCAAGAAAACGGATTTAAACCATTACAGGGCTAAAGACTTTGACACTCAAGTTCCCTTCTGATGTAAGCTACAGGGAGAAGGAGCAACTGGGATGTTAAATCTCCTTATTTCTTCTGGAGATTATTTGTCAGCTCCCTCAGGGTTTATCCATGTACTTTTAGTTACCAAAGGGGCTTTTCAAGATAGAATGACTCCCCAGCAGAAAAGTAAGTAAATAAAAAGTAAAAATTAACCAATCTTCATTCCAGATGTGGATGTCACCAAATGTAGCATATTTAGCAGAAGTATTCCTCTTTTAGTCTTGCTCTATAAATACTCCATGAACACTGCACAGAAAGGAAAACCGAGAGCCAGCTATGCCCTTTGCAAAAGAATTGCCCAAGGGTATCTTTACAATGCCTTTACGATGGATTTAATTTAAGAAACTGACTGGCACACAATTTGGCAAATGCTCTTGATGAGGCAGAGTATGGGGATGCCAACCAAGAGACATAATAAAGGTGAGTGCTTACAAAACATAGCACATCGACAAAGAACCTGGGCCTAAAATCAGAAGGTCTGAATCCTAGTCCCAGCTGAGTCACAGAGGCAAGTCATTTACCTTCTATGGTTTTAGTTTCCTTACACAGAGCTGGAGAATCATAATTAAAAGCATTATCTACTTGCCAGAGTTACTGGGAAAATCAAAGGAATGTGAAAGCTGTTAGAAAATGCAAAGGCCTATGCAGAAGTCAGGGGATTCTTCTATTACATGTACACACGCATGCAAATAGGAGCCACCTGGAAAATTACCTTCCTCCACCGTTACTCACACTAGATGCTATTTCCTCTTACTAATATAGGGAACAAATGGAATGTGAGAGATTTCTGTGAATCAGGAGGAACACGCAGCTCTTGGAGAACGGGCGCTGTTGTCACTGAGGACACACGATCCATCCTGTGACAGCTTTTGGTACCCAAGGACAGTCACACAGGCAAATGCACCCATCCAGCTCTGCAGGGGATCAGGCCCTAAGCCTATTATTTCATGTTTACCAGATACTAAAAATGTTCTAGGAATGTCCAGAATACTGAATGCATTGTAACCAGGCAAAAGGAATCACCAACCCACAGGACAACACATGTGGCCAACGGACGTGCAGGTCACCTTCCCAGTCACTTACATGGACTCCCTTCTATGCCCTAGTAGGTTGGGCAAGCTTTTCCTGCACTCTTATCTGAAGACAGCAGTTAAATGTCTTCAACAAATCATCACCAGTAGGAAATCCAAAGAAGAAAACACAGGACAACCCTAACAAGTCCACACTGGAAAAGAGCTGTTAGCGCACTCTCTCTCAGCGTGCTGCAGGGTGGAGCCAACTCTGAAGCTGGCTGTTTTTGCTCTCTCTCCCATTTTCTACCCCCCACACTCAAATGTCCTAGAAGCTAAATAAGCCTCTCAAACCCCAGCCAGAAAGAACTTTACAGGGTTAAATAACTATAGGGATGATCAAAACAGTCACAAGGTAAACAAAGTACAATTGTTCCTTGAGATCTGCAGGGGACTGGTTCCAGGTCCCCCAGCCATACCAAAATCCAGATGCTCAAGTCCCCAATGTATTGGATTTGAATATAACCTACACACATCCTCCTGAATGGTTCAAACCAAATCTAGATTGCTTATAATGCCATATATTATAAATGCCACGTAAATATTGTAAACCATACATTGCTCATATTGTACGGTTTAGAGCAATGGTTCCTGATGCTCCAGCCCTTTAATACAGTTCCTGTGGGTCATGACCCAGAGGTTGAGAACTGCTGGTTTTGAGAATGATGACAAAAAAAAAGTCTGTACATCTTTAGTACAGATGCAAGCATCCCTTTTTTCCCCCGGATATTTTTTATCCACAGTTGGTTGAATCCACAGATAAGGAGGGCCAAGCATACCTGGAAAGCTCTGCATGAATTCCCCGACCTTGCCAGAAAAGCCAGTATGAGGGGGAGGGGTTTTAAAGAGAAACCCAGAAGGACAGCTGATTGCATAATACCTAGCACAATGGTTCCCAAACTTTAGTATGCATCAGAATCACTCAGAGGGTGTGTTAAAACACAGAAACCCAGAGTTTCTGGGTCAGTGGCTAATGCTACTGGTTCAGGGGAACACACTTGAAAAACTACTGACATAGTAAATGAGCAAGGGCTGCCCAGTCAGTCCCACTGGCACAACTTTTGATCCTAATCCCTCCCTCCCTCCACAAATTGAGCCACTAGAAAACTCATGATGGGAATTAAACAGCCATGCCCCTCCTCTCCTCTTCCCTCCTCTTTCCCCATTCATACACCATGCTGCTATGGATAAAGAGGACAATTCTCAAGCCATTTCTCCTAAATATCTCCCAGGGCTAAGTCCAGCTCTCACCTGTGCACCAGATAATTTTGCAAAAGGAGCGCATTAGGATGCAAAACAGAGGACACAGCAGCGCAGGCCGAGCGCGCAAGGGTCCCCTTGGTCCAGTTCTCTGAAACAGTGTACAATCCTCTCTTCTCAGTGACAAGAGAGTGCCACTGGGTCAGTGCCAGGAAACGCTGTGACCCGATTTTCTCCTCACTAATGCAGCCTGATGATCTGCCAATAAGTACTATGATTTCCCGCTGAGAGTTCACTTCATGACACCAACTTGCTGCCCTGCCAGCCTCACCAACGTGCAAAGGAAAGCAGAAAGTAGCCATAAACACTGCACCTCTGGGGGTGGCAGGGCAAGATCTCTCCAGACCATGATCACAGCACTCAGGACCTGGAAGGGACCATGACAAATATTTCTTTCCTTCCCAAAGCTTTGCATTATACAGTACACTATTTTACCAATAGCAGTAGTTACTGCCACAATAATATCATTTTGTTTTATGGGAGGGTTAACAGAAGTTCCTACAGAGAGCAGTGTTGTGAATAATGTAAACACTCTGTGCCTATCCTACAAGTCTTTTCTTTTTATGTTCAAATCGGAAAATCTGGCCAATGTCCTCTCTCTCTCTCACACACACACACACACACACACGTCTGCCTGGCCTTTTCTGGCTATGGGACAGAAGTTACACACAATTTGGACTGCAATTGTGAGACTGAAAACTGACTTATGGTTAAATAAGGAAAAAGAATGAAGAGTGATTCATTCACAGTGTCTGTGTTTGCAAATACCTGGCCTTTAAGATGATTTTACGTAGACAGATAGGCATATTTAAGGGAACAAATGTGATTTTCCCTCTCATTAATAAAAAAAAATCCAATTAACTTTTTCACATGCAAAACTGTGCACCACTTTCCAGGCTCTGAGTGCCTTATTTGGAATAAATCCTATGAAGTCTTGTGAGCGAGACAACATTCTTCAACCTCCAGCCTACCGAACACCAACAACACAACGTCTACTTACCCCCAAATCATGAAGCAATCTCAGATATCATACACCCAAGACAGGTGCCACCAGCTCAAACAGTTGTATTCACTAAATTCTAGGGCAGAAAAGCCCACTCGCAGGTGATAATGTTGTTTGGGTCCTCAAGAACACTGATTAAATACTCTTGCCTCCTCCCTACTCCCCTCATTTATATCCTCAGATGAGGTGACCCAAAAGCTGCCTTCTCGCCCAACCCCTTGGTAGCTCCTGTCCTCACCTGTTTTCCAGGAGGGTCATGCACACCACCTCTCGCACCCCAGGGTTGTTGGCCTTCTCCACCGAGCATCCCTGCAAGTTCCAGGTGGCCAGCCTCAGCACAGGCCGCCCATCCCGCGTGCCTCCAAAGGCCTCCACTGAAGGCCGAGTGGAGATAATCTGTGTGGGCCCTCCGGGGGGCAGGTCCAGGTCCTCACTCTGGAGGCTCAGTGAGGTGGGGCTGGGATGAGGCTTGGCAGTGAAGGTTAGGCCCCCGTTAGTGTGGGTCGATGGGGGCCTGGACTTCTCCGCAAACACCTGGTGCCGTATTCTGTCCACAAAGGCGGCACTGATCCCATCCATCCTCACCAGGTCCTCCACACTGCGAAAGGGCCCGTGCTCGCGGCGGAAGTCCACGATGCTAAGGGCCATCTTCTCCGAGAGGCCTCGCACACTCATGAGCTGAGCCGGAGTGGCCGTGTTGATGTTGACACGTGGGGTGAGGGGCACCGCGGAGGCCAGGTGGTGAGGCTGCTGCTCTGCCAGCAGGTCTCTCCGCAGGGAGCTGGGGGAATGCTGTGCAGAGCTGCCTTTGCTGCTCACGCAGATCTCAAACTTGACCTGCTCAAGCTTCGTGGCGCCCACTCCGCTTACCAGAGCCAGGTCTTCCACCTTTTTGAAGCCACCTATGTACTCTCGGTACTCCACAATGCTGCGGGCCACAGCACGGGTCACCCCCGGCAGGGTCATCAGCTCCTCTTCCGTGGCGGTGTTGATGTTGAGGCGCTCCTGATTCACCAGGATATTGCTGAAGTTACAGGCTGCGCTGAACTTGCGACTATGGGACAGGTCTGAGGGGTCCCTGGGGATGGAGCGGTGGCAGCCCAGGGTGCTCCCCATGGTTGGCCAGGATCAGGGGTCCAGGAGGGCCTCACCCTGAGGAACTCGTGGCCAGGGAGGAAGCCCAAGGTATCTTAGAAGCACAGAAGAATGGAAGGTGCAGGATTCAGGGGCTGAAGTCACCACAAACACCCAGCAAATCCATGCTCAGAGTGTCCAAAATTACCTTTCACTTGGCTACCTAGAAAGGAAATTAATAAACACACGCAGAGTGAATTAATCAATTTGCGTTAGCACTCCCTACCTAGTACTGGAGTTAGCAGCCACAAGTTCAGTTCGGGGCCGGTGGCTGCCCATGAACCCCTGAAAATACAAACCATAGGGAAGCTGTGCCCATGTGGAATTTCCCCTGGGACCTCCGGTTTTTATCACATTGGGGTCCAAAAAGGCTATGAGCTGCTTCTCTGGGGAGGAGACCTATCCCTGTCAGCCTCACGCCTCTCCTCCTGCCATCTCTCAACTCTGGCAGCGCTGGGGTCATCTCCCTACTTCAGTCACCAGCACCCGAGCTCGGGAAGATCTGAGGGAGCAAATGGCCCCCACCCAACCCGCGCCTGACACTCAGCGCCACCTGCAACTTGGCTACTCCGTGCTCCCCGATGCGGGCACCGAGGAGGGGTTATCGACCCCCACCCGACACGCCGCAGGTCCCCGCACCCCACCTCTTGTCCGCTCTGCCGGGACGTCAGTCCCTCTTCCACCTACGGTTCAGAAGCCCGAGCCGCGTGGGCCCACTGCCTCCGGCCCTGCAGCGCCTGCGGGTGCGGGTCAGCGGTCAGGCCGCCAGAAGCCTCCCGCGCCGCCTCGGTCCGCGTGTCCCGGCTCTTTCTGCGGGAGAAACTCAGTGTCGCTCTCCCAGAGCGGGCAGAAGCTTCAGGACTGTTCGGTGGCGGCGGCAGCGGCGGCGAAATCCGACCGCCCTGGCTGCACCAAGACTTGAGACTGCACCAGGACTTGCAGCGTCGCCGCCGCTGCGTTTATACAGGCAAAAAGTCCTGCGCCCAACTCGGCAGCGAGGTCAGCCACAGTGCGCCCAGATTCAGCACTAGCGCCACGGCCCCAGCTCGTTGTAGGTGTCAAAGCCAAAGTCCTGGCCGCGCCGCCCGCGCCTCTGCAAGCACGACGGCCACGCCTCCTCCGCGCGGCAACTCCTCCCGGGACTCCGGAGGGCACGTGGGGGCGGGGCCTGGCGCAAGTGGGTGGAGAGCGGAACCCCGGAGCGTCAGGCGGGGCCATAGAGTGTGGGGGCGGGGCCAAGACCAAGTGGGTGGAGAGCAAACCCCAGAGCGCGGGGGCGAGGCCTTGGGCTGTGGGGCGGGGCTTAGGGACTGAAGGGGTGGGGCCGGCGCCGCGACCGCCGGTGGGTCAGCGGGAGGCGGTCCTCTGCTAACCCCAACCAGGGTTGCCGCTGGGAGCTTAGGGATGGTTGTGCAGGCAAGAGATTGTTAACATAGCCAGAGGCTGCTTTTTGTGCGTCTTTGGGGCCGGGGAAGGAAGGCCCCCGCCATCCCTGTGAGGGAGACATCCCTTTGGATACCATCCAAAGTCTCCCATTCTTGCAGCACCTTCCAAAGGAGATTGAGATCTTAATTTCTACCCCCACTTTAGCCTTCTGCTTTTCTTGCACTAGCATATTACCTTTGCTCTACTCCAGTGTTTTTAACTTTTTTTTTTTTGCAGTTTTTGGCCAGGGCTGGGTTTGAACCCGCCACCTTCGGCATATGGGGTTGGTGTCTTACTCCTTTGAGCCACAGCGCTGCCCTGTTTTTAACCTTTTTATCTCACTCACACTTGAACGAACCTGGTTAACCTTCCGAGGCACACTTAAATTATGTTGATCAAAAAAAAAAAAAAGAATAAAGAAAAAGAATATACTTTACTGTGTTTTGAACTTCTTTTGAAGATAATTTAATTAATGATCTTTAAAATTTTTAGCGGCACACTGGTTGAAATATGCAGAGAGATGTCCACTACTAACACCAGCGACTCACTGGTGTTCTCCGAGAAGAGGACACGTACCAGCCTCTTGTGTGTTCACATAGGTCAAATACAGGGTTGCCGCTTTGCTCAGTTAGGGCTCTAAGTAAATACTCATTTGTTTCTGTTAAGCATTAATTCTAATCATTACAAAGGACGGAAATACTATTAGGAAATGGAGGCTGTTTCTCAAAACTCGGAACGGCTTTCATATTTCACTGCTAAATGACAAAGTAGTTAAAGGTTAAGGAGCTTGCTGCATTTCAGGGCATGTTCAGAGCTGGAGTATTCGACGAAACAAACCGTGCAGTGATACTGTGTAATACTTTGATCCTGGCTGTTCAGTGTTCTCTGAAGTTTCATCCCCAACCAATGTGACCAATGCATCTTATTTCAGTTCCAGGGCTGGGTCAGCAAAAATAGTAACGCAGGGAAGGCAGAAGGTAAATTGGACATGAAATGAGTGGCAGCCCCGGCTTGGCAAAATGGTACCTCTTTTTTGAGGAACATTCTCTATCTGTATCTGTTTTCCTGCATTAGTCAGGAAAACCAAGTCAAGCTTGCTTGTACAAAAAAAAGAGGATTTCCTAGTTCCCTGTGCAAAAGTTAAGGACTAGATCTAACAGCCCACACAATGTCATCAAGACTTAGTTTGACTCCCTCCACCTCTGGCTCCACTGTCCTCTTTGGTGGCTTCATTTTCAAGTATCCTGTTCTCACCTGATTGCAAGCAGCACCCTCCCCACCATTATTCTCTCCCGCCCAAGTACTAGGCTACATTATGCCACTCCCTGAAGTCCTGTTGTGGTTAATAGCAAAAAAATGTTTAAGAGAAGCAAGAAACTTAGAGGAGAGAAAAGTCTTTGTTCAGCAGAGTGCCTTGTTGGGTAGTGTGGCTGTGGAATGATGGATCAGGGGCATGGTCACGTGGCCTAGAAGCTTAAAAATCATACATTTTGTCATCCAAACAAGGACATTTTGGAAGTTAAAAAGAGACACTTATTAAATTCACTGGAACAACAGAAATAATCTGATTTTATTCTCCATAAACATAAGCATACAAGGCTCTCCTTGATAGAAATGCCAACAGACCAATGTGTGTTTTTTAAAAAAAAAAAAAGCTCAAAACACAAAAACATACAATGAAATGGCTAACTTTAAAATGACTGATCTGATCAAATGTTGGTGAGGGTATAGAGCAACTGAAACTCCCATAGATTGCTGGGAGAGGTGTAAGACAATACAAGCACTTTGGAAATCATTTTGGCAGTTTCTTAAAAAGTTAAACATAACACCTACCATATAACTCAACCATTATGAGTATTTACTGTAGAGAAAAGAAGGCATGAAACCCAGAGACTTGAATGTGGATGTTCATAGGAGCTTTATTTGCTACAGCAAAAAACCAAAAAACAAAATAAAACAAAACAAAACCCCCAGATCCATCAGTACATGGATGAATAAACAAATTGTATTATACCCATATAATAAAATGATATTCATGCATTAATGTACACAACTATGATTTAATAATAAAAAAATGGTACTCAGCAACAGAGATGAATAAACTATTAATATGCATAGAAATATTGAAAAAAAATCTAAAAATCATTATACTGAGTAAAAGAAGCCAGGCCAAAAAAAAAAAAAAGAGAGAGAGAGAGAGAGAACATATTGTTTAATTCCATTTCTATAAAACATTAGAAAATACAAACTAATATATACAGAGAGAGGAAGCAGATCAGTGGTTGCCTGGGGTTGGGACAGAGGAAGGAATGGATTAAAAAGGACACAAAGAAATTTGGGGAGTTGATGGGAGTGTTGTTTAAGAGGTGATGGGTTCATGGGTATAACAAAACTGGTAGAGTGGGCTCAGCGCCTATAGCTCAACTGGCTAAGGCTCTAGCCACGTACACCTAAGGTGGCGGGTTCGAATCCAGCCCGGACCTGCCAAACAACAATGACGGCTGCAACCAAAAATAGCCAGGCGTTGTGGCGGGCGCCTGTGGTCCCAGCAACTTGGGAGGCGGAGGCAGGAGACTCGCTTGAGCCCAGGAGTTGGAGGTTGCTGTGAGCTGTAATGTCACGGCACTCTACCCAGGGGGACAGCTTGAGGCTCTGTCTCAAAAAAAAACTGGTAGAATGGCCTACTTTAAATACGTGTAGTTTAGTATACTTGAATTACACCTCAATAAATTAAAAATTCTTTTAAAAAAATTTTTAAATGCTTTTTGGAAGCAGCTTTAGGTGATCTGTGAAAATGGTTCCTGGTTCACTATTCACTTGACCCAGAAAATCCCACAAAGTCATCTAAGCCAAGAGGTTCAAATCTGCATGTACACTTTAAGGACACATGTGAAACTGCCCAGGCCATCAAGGTCAAAGTCATGCAAGTCAAGAGGTTCAAATATTCCTGTTTATTTTAAGAACACATGTGAAACTGCCCATGCATTATCATATGCATATGTGAAAAGCTATCAAGTATCTGAAGGATGTCACTTCAAAGAAACAATGTGTACCATTCTGATGTTGCAATGGTGGAGTTGATAGGTATGCCCAGGCCAAACAGTGAGGCTGGACACAGGATCAGTGGCCCAAAAACAGTGCTGAATTTTTGCTGCATGTGCTTAAAAATTCAGAGAGTGTTTAGATGTAGATTTTCTGGTCATTGAGCACATCCAGGTGAACAAAGCACCCAAGATGCATTGCCGAACTTACAGAGCTCATGGTCGTATTAACCCATCCATGAGCTTCCACTGCCGCATCCAGATGGTCCTTATTGAAAAGGAACAGATTATTCCCAAACCAGAAGAGGAGGTAGCACCAAAGAAAAAGATATCCCAGAAGAAACTGAAAAAACAAAAGCTTATATGGTAATAGATGCAACATAAAAGAAATGCAAATAACAGCAAAAGGAAAAAATAAAGAAATAAATAAAATAAAAAATGCTCTTTGACCTTTAAAAAAAAAAAAAGGATATTTGGGGGATTGAGGTAGATGATCCAGGGTGGAGAAGAGGAGGTTGAAGAGAGTGAAGGGTCCCCAAAGAAGTTGAGCCAGCGGGAAATAGAAGAGAGACCAGTGAACATTCCCCAGTTTCAGTCTGAGGGCCCAGGAAAGGGGTTCCCAAAGCGGGTATCCAATAGTCTACCACTTACAGACACCAAATCTTTATATACATAATGGCTTTAGATTAGTGCTTTTTAAGGGAAATAAGGGAAAGGCCCTGACTCTGGGTGGTGCTTTAAGGACCAGGAGGAGGGGGGCTGCTAAAATGTGAAATAGGGGAGGGAGAAAGATCTAAAATTCACTGGAAACAGAAAGTCAGAATATGAGGAGACCCAGGGAAAAATGTCTGGCTTTCAAGAATCCTTGTTGAGATTAGGAAGTTGGCTGGGGGTCCCCTTACACGGGGAGTGGAGGGCTCAGCCCCATTGTATTTATCTCTCAAAGGACACGAGGGCCCCAGCTGACATCTGACTTACATGAGGATGTCAAAGGTCAGGGGTTACATCACCCCAGCCAAACACCACATCCTCTGATCACTGCCCCTTACCCTGACCACACAGTTCTCACCTGGGACCTGGTCAGAGAGGTCTCGGGTCACTGGCCTTTTGCTTCTCAGTCAGCAGTTTCAAAGGTGAATGGTGATCCCACAGAAAGGAGAGTTGGTGGGAAGCAAAAAGGGAAAGCTTTTGTCAACTTTCAGTTTCAACACCGCGGTGCTTGGCTGTGTCTCCAGTGAGGAGCAAATTCCTGATTCTTCTTGTCCCTGTGCTGATGGGCCAGCAGGACTGCAGACACTAAGTCAGTGAGAGGAGGGACTGCTGGCAGCAAGGGGAGAAGAAGAGAGGATAGTTGAGAATGATGAGTAACTTAGTCTGGGGACTTCCCTGAGAAGTGTGAGTCAAGAGAGATTTGAAAGATGAAGAGCAAAATGGTACAAAGAATGTTGCCATGAGTAATACAGTGGAGTATGATTGCTGGGCCACGTGGTAAGAGCATGTCTTGTAGGAAACTGCCCATTCTCTTCCCAAGTGGCTGTACCAGTTTGCATTTCTAGCAGTAGTGAATGAGAATTCTGTTT